TGTAAGTACAATAAGTATGTTAATAAAAGTTTAACAAAAATTATCTTAATATTACCTGGTAGCATATGGAAGATGGAGTCGTGTATGAGGGGGATTATCAGGAGTTAAAAATGGAAACCTATCTCATGTCCACATGACAAGTAAAGCAGTTAATCCACCTAAACCATGCCGATCAATATTGGTGGCCATACACAGCTCTCTATACAATACTCTCAATATTGCAGACCTCCAACTATATTCACCATTAACAGCAAAATTCTCTAGTAGATGTAAGTACCTCACTAACACTCTACTGCTAGAGTGATCGCTCAACATAAAACTCTCAATCAACCGCAACATATAAGCCCTAGCAAACCGAGTGATCTGTAAAGGATTATGTGCATGCATCGTCACATGGGTAAAATGTTGGTCTAACCAACTCATCTTCAGGAAGCTACCAACAAAAGCATCACGTGATGGTCTAATCCCTAGACTCTCCTCAACAATTTCAGCATAATTACCTCCAATAAGTGCTATCACAGGTCTTTCATCAATCTGTAAACCTAACAACACGGATATGTCCTCCAGAGTGATTGTACACTCACGTGGAGGCAAGTGAAAAGTGTGTGTCTCTGGCCTCCATCTCTCTACTAATGCAGTGATCAACTGAAAGTCTAATGGAAACTGACATACGTGAGCAATCCCAGTAAATCCTGCAAGCTCTAAATGTGGAAGGATCTCCTGTGGAACAACATCCAAATTAGCTAGAATAAACTGACTCTTTCTAACCTTCAAAATAGGATGTTCCCGACCATCCCAAATATGTTCAAATATGTGAATATTCTGTAAGTGTAATAATGAAGGATCCTCTGGTCTAAGATGGATGATCCTATTCTGTCCTGAAGATAAAATTATCTAAAAAATATTATATATATATATATATATATATATATATATATGTGTGTGTGTGTGTGTGTGTGTGTGTGTGTGTGTGTTAGTTTCATTGTTATTATAAAATATAACATGTTCAATAAATTCATAACATAAATCCTAATAATACAATTTCATATTTATTTTTATTTTTTATTAATTATCATTAATTAAATTATATAATCAATAATTGATTTCAACTAATTTGTATCACTCCAAAAATTTATATTGCATAACTAATCTTCTTATTTCATTCAAGATTAAATTATTTAATTAAAATAACTTAATCTCATCTTATTAATATCACTCTAAAATAAAAATTCAATAAATAAATTTATAATTTTATCATAAATAATATTATTTAATTATAATTTTTTATTCTAAATTATTTAATATCACTCTAATAACTTAAATTACATAACTAAAGTTCTTATTTCATTAAAGATTAAATAATTTAATTAAAATTACTTAATCTCATCTTATTAATATCACTCTAAAATAAAAATTCAATAAATAAATTTATAATTTCATCATAAATAATATTATATAATTATAATTATTTATTCTAAACTATTTAATATGACTCCAATAACTTAAAATTACATAACTAAATTTCTTATTTCATTAAAGATTAAATTATTTAATTAAAATAACTTACTCTCATCTTATTAGTATCACTCTAAAATTTAAATTCAATATATACATCTATTATTTTATCATAAATAAAATTATATAATTATAATTATTTATTCTAAGTTATTTAATATCACTCCAATAATTTAAACCATAAACCATAATTAACCAATATTAATTATATTTTTTTAATTATTTTATAAACTTAAATTTTTGCTACTATAATTTTAATATAAATTAATATGGTCAATTTTAATGCTTTCAATTTTAACTATACCTTTTTTTTTTGGTAATTATCTGTTCATTAATCATAAATCAATCAATCTATTTATATTTTTAAATGTTATTAATATAAAAAACAAAATTTATGTTATAATTTTTATACACTATTTTCTAATTATCATTTCTTATATAATTAATCAACCAATTTGATACAACTATTTTTTATTTTTCTATTTTGAATTTTATTTACTATTTATTATTTTATTTAATTATTTTTTACAATTTTATAAATTATTTACTTCAAATTATAATAATTCTAAATACAAACTCTAATTTTTTTATCTTAATATTACTATCAAATTTTAATTATACAAATTCTGGTTATTTTTATATATCTACAAATTTACCAAAATTATTTTAATTTAATTTTTAATCTAATTATTACTATAAGAAATATTTTAATCTACCTTTTACTATTATAATAAATATAAAAAATAAATTTATTAAACAAATTGAAAAACCTGGATGGGGGACAGGGGCTAGAGGCAGTGGTGGCAATTTTTTGTGACGTTTGGTTCCCAATGACGGCAACAAGTTCATTGGACGACGGCGTCTCTCCGGCAATGAGTTCCTCTTCTCTGTTCAACAGACGATTAAGTAGGTAATTGATTCTCTCAACGTTCTCAAAGTTTCAGTCCAAAATCACCAGAACTCACTGCAAACACAATCGATCTAGACACTTTTGTGCAATGGATCACAAATCTCACTCAAAAATCACTCTGAAATGATAAAAAAAATTCCCCTGCAAAGGTCCAGAATGGCAACAATGGCAGTTTGCTCAAGGAACAGCAGAAGAGGAGAAGGAAAGAGGGAGCACAGTTACCGTTGCTCCGCTGACATGTGGCCCAATCAACGTGTTTCGTCTCTGAGTCAGACAAAAAGATTATTTTATCCTACTCAGCGACGAAACACATTGATTGAGCCACGTGTCGTGAGGCAAAAAAATTTAATTTAAATTTTTTGGCCTTTTTGTTTCATTCTTATACAAAACTAAGTCCACACGTGTCCATTTGTATAGTTTTTTGTCCCTGTTCTAAATGATTTGAATAAATTAAAAATAAAAAAAATAATTTTACCTAAGTCAAATATGAAATCAAGGCTGATATGATAAAAGTTTGCTTCAGACAAGAAATTAATTTGGTTTTTAATTTATTTTGGTAATTAGATTTTTTTTAAAAAATATTATTTTAATCATTAAGCTGTAATATAGATAATAATCTTTTATGAGTATCATCAATGATGTTTTATAAGCAATACAAATATTTAGACAAGAAGTATAATATTTTAAAATAGTTTAATACTTCTATTAGAGTGTTAATATTAACATTTATCTCAATATCTTTAAATATGAAAAAAAAAATCAAATCCATTAATATTAGAATATAAAATATTTTTTTCAACATTAATATAATATTTTTGTAATTCATCTTGAATTAAATTTTTGGATCTAATAAAAATTAAAAACTCTTTGGTATTATTAAAATTATTCAAATCAAGTTTTAATATGAAAAAATGAATTAATTTTAAAAGTTGAAGCTAAAACATGAGTCTGACTTGTCTGATAATTTACACGGTGCTGTACATTCTAGGTCAAACACGTACATAAGATAAATAAAAATTATTAAAGCGATTTAGGTTTATTGAGTCTAGCAACGAAGTCCTGCTCTTTCACGTCAAAAGAACCAAGCTGATGAGTTCCAACATACAAAATTGATATCAAACAAAAAGTAATCATATTTGAATTATTTTAGGCTTACGTACACTCAAACATATATGTATTATATTAAATCAACATAATTATTAATTCTCGTGATACTTCGATAGAGTTCATTAAGTTGATATGAACTAATGGAAATGTTATTTTAAATAATATTTTGAAATCCGTACGTTTCTTCCTCTCCTTTTCAGGAGCTAAGAAAAATAAAAATATTTCATGTAATTTATTTTAATGCCCAAGAAATTTATGTTTCAGAGGCAAACATTTGACCATTTTTTTCAAGTTTCACCTCAAGCTAGGGATGTGTGCCTTAAAAAATATTTAAATTAAAAGCTTAACAACTCGTGTCATTTCTAACAAAGTTTAAATTTTTAATTAAATATGGGCATTTCAATTTATTATTTGATTAGTCTATCACAGATAGATGAGAGGATACTTAGGCAAACAAAAAACAAAAAAAAATCAAAATCAAAATTTAGACGCACAAAACTGTTCGTTCTTCCTAATGCATTACTATGCCATGTAATATGAATCAGTGACTTTCAAGAAAATGAAAGAAATGTCTCAACTAGATGAACCAAGACAAAATAAAAAGACCTATCAAAAAATAAATAAATAACTTTAATTTTAAAATATTTTAATATTATAAATATTCATTCAACATTTTTAATTATATCACATCTATCACTTATTTATTATTTATCATCATACGAAGAATAGAATAGTGAAATGGAGCAGGACATATTCGTGATGGGTACTTTAGATAAGCTTTTATTTGATTTTTCTTTTTTGCGGTTACAAAATAAGTGACGATAAGTAGGCCAATGGCATGGAAATAGCACCCGGTGCTCCATCATTTCACAGTCACACCTCAGAGACTGACAAATCAAACAGCAATCCACCAACAACAAACGAATATGACAACCCATCTACCCTCTCTCTCATCCTCTTACCTGTACACATACACCAAACCAAGCAATTCAAATCAATTGCCTAATTACCTGTAACATATTCTTTATTTATATATACACTTGTCAATTATTATTTTTAAATATTATACATTTTAATTTTTTATTTAAATATTCTTTAATTTAAATTTCTAAAATTTATATGATTTTTACTTTTAGTAAGTGGCAAACTCATCACTTTTAAATTTAATAGATGTAATAGCTTTAACTGAATTATATATTTTTATAAGAATTGAAATAATACTTTTAATAACTAATAACTTATTTAAATCATACACATCCGTGTATATATATATATATTATTAAATTTTTATTTATATTAAAATTATTGATGATTATAATATATTATTTTTATTTATTATTTTAACATTTTATACATTGTTAATTTTCTTTTTTTAAATAAAAAATCTTCGCACTGACATAAAAAAAATAAGGTAACAGTACCGACCTTTAACCAGTATATATAAATATATTGTTTTTTCATTTTTCAATTATCTAATTATTAATTAAAATGTCTAATCCTCTTGTTCTAAATTACAACTCGTCGACAATTTTTAGTTGACACAATTCCAGCTTTACAGAAAAAAAAAAATTAACCAAGACCACAATAAATTTTTCAGTCCCCAATATTTTTCTGTTTTTTTTTTTTCTCTTCCTTGTTCAAGCAACACTGATAATGCTATCCCCGCCACTGCCACTGCCTAAACTCTCAGTAGACATAGGCTGAAAAGACGACGGCGAGTGGGTACTAGTCCGCGGCGAATGCTCCTTGGACGATGGCGAAGTTGGAAGATTCAGCGACAATGGCAGAGACTCAGTAAGAGCAGAGCCAGAAACCTTCTCATTCAAGTCCAACTCAGCCATCTTCGAAGACGGCGGCACCGGCAAAAAGGGTTTCGGCCTAACTGATGACATCTCTTGTTCTTCTTCCATTACCTTTATTGTAAAAAAAATTAAAAAATAAAATTATATATATATATATATATTAATTAACATTAGATCCATTTAATAAAATTAATTTTAAGATTAAAGTGCAGTACCGAGTCGGTAGTGATGTCAAAGAGACTAGATCTCCGGCGGCGGCGGTTATGACTGTGACGACGGAGAAAGTACTTCTGAGCGTGACTAGCCACCTGAGTTGGCGTCCGAGTCTTCACGAAGTTTCTGGAAATTCCTCTCCAATCTCCTTTGCCAACATTCTGCAATCCCAACAGGAACAGCCTGTGCTCCTCTTCCGTCCATGGAACCCCTTTATTCATCAATCCAAAGACAACGGTTCTTAGTTTCCACAACCAACAGCATGTTGACAAAGATAAATATATATAGTTACATATTACCTCGCTTGCGCTCGCGGGTGTGACGGGAGGGGTGAACAACGTCGTCTGAGGCGTAGCCTGCGTTGGGATCGTGGGGCGGTGAGGGTTCATATTGAGAGAGGTTGTTCATACTGGCGCTTTTCCTGAAAGAGTTGTTGTTATTATCGGGTACGGTGAGCAGCACGCCGAATAACATGATCCCCTGATCCTTCTCTGCAGAACACATTTTCACTGGCGAAATGGAAGACGCTGCTCTCAGTCCATGCAAGGCGGTGGAGGAGAAAGAAAAGGAAGTTCAGAAACCTCTCTCTCTCTCTCTCTCTCTCTCTCTCTCTCTCTCTCTCTCTCTCAGTTCTGTAATAACAAGAAACAGAAACAAAGTTGCTTGACAGTGATGTTGCGAGAGTGAATTTGGCTTCCAGAGTTTGTTTGTTTTTCCGCTGGCGCTGTCCTTCACGTGCTTATCAGTTACTTCTCTGGCTAGTCTTATTAATCAATGTTATTTTAAAACACAAAAAAACTCTAATGTTTATTTCTTTGTGGTTATATTTGGACGACTTTCTTTTTCAGTTATGAAATAATGGGGAAAAAATTATCACTACAGTCGTATACATAATGTGAAAGAGATATGCGTGTAATTTGGATTGTCGTGGGATTAGTGATACGCTAACTTGTATGAGAAGATGCTATGAATGTGTGAAATGAATTTATGCAAGTGTTATTCCTTTCAAAAGTAACAACTAATGTCAAATAATTATAGAATGAAACCCCAATACAAAAAGAGAAAGATAATAACCGTCCATTGCAAACATCAATTACAGTTATTGATTTTTATAAATTAACTTGAGATAAGTATGTGTAGGTATCATCATTATGTTAATATAAATATATATATATATATATATATATATATATATATATATATTATCAGTCTATTAGGACATTATTTAGGGCAATATTATAATGTTATTTATTATTAGGTTACGCGTGGCCCGGAATGGGGAAAAAACTGTGGGTGGACTAGAAAAACCTAACAATCAGAAAAGGCTAAATAAGAAAATTATTTAACCATATTTTCTTTTATGGAAGTTAATTAACCTTATTTGATTCTATTTTACAGCACCCATATTTGATCTTGACGATGAAATTTGAGAGTAAAATAATTGTTGGGAAATGGCAGTGTGTTAATGAAAAATGCATCTGTTCTAAAAGCAACAAGTGGAATTTATTTTAATTAATAATATAATCAATCAACGGTACTTTACAATAATAAAAAAAAATGGAAGGCTAGAGAAGCAGGGCGATTGTGCACCGTGAATCGGGTATATTCGCTGCCCCTTTCATGGAAAACATGATTTTTTAGTATTTATTTTAATACAAAAAAAAATTGTCTTGCACTTTAAATGACGCGTAAAATAGATAAAAAAGAAAATAAAAATTAATATGATAAAATAGAAAATAAATAAACAACATATAATAAAAAAATATAATATTATTAAATAATTTGTAATGGCCTTTTTATTAACCATCCAAAGCCGAAGGTGGGGGTATGGATTTGGGTTGTATAGGATAAGCCAGCTTAAACCCCACTTACCTGTCTATTCACTTCAGCCATTCTATGTGGCTAAGGAATTGTTTCCTTTATTATTGTCACTTCTTTTGTTTTCTTCATATTTTCATGTTTTAAACACGGAAGAAATTCTCGGTGGGATGGTAACACGGTGAGTTTAGGTCTATTTGTTCCTTACATGTTTAATGAAATAGGTCATGGAGTTCAAAAGAGTTTATCGTCTAATTTTTTAAAGTTTCAGTCTAGTTAAATTTATTTAAATATTAAATTTTAAAAAAAATTTAATTAATTAAATAAATTGAGTTTGAATTTTTTTAAAAATTACTAATTTATAAGATATTCTATTTAAAATTTATAATAATATATTAAATAATTTTATATAAAAATTATAATATTATATTAAATTAAATTTTAAAATAAATAAAATTTTAAATTAAAAATTGATATTTTTTATTAGAGTTAGAAGTATCATGTTTCATAACCTTTGAGATTTAGCACTACTTGCATAATTTTTTGCATTATTGCTAATTTGATCTATCTTATACACACAATGTTTATATGCATGTGTTTATTATATGTTTATTGATTTACTTAATTAAATCAAATATGAAATTTAAAAGTGATAAATAAGATTATTTAATTTTATTATAAATATTTAAGGTGTTAAAATTTTCTTTTATAATTTATTTAAATATAAAATTTATAATTTTTATTGAGATAATATCTATTTATATAATTTAATAAATTATTTATAAAGAGACTTAATAGTCTATTAAAGATTTTAATATGAAGTAAGTTATTAAAAAATTATTATATTAAATCAAGCTTTTAAAAAAAGTAAAACTAAAATTAATAAAAAAAATCTATGATAGATGATAAATTAAGTTCAAATCTTAAAATTATTAAATAGATCGAATCTATTTATAAAAAGTTTAATCAATTTCTATTTTTTATAAATTTGAGAATATATATATATATTAAATTAATAATTATAATTTTTATAATATCTTAAAAATAAAAAAAAATATATTTTTTTAAAATAAATCACTTACTCTTTCACTGTCTATTGTACATATTTATCATAAAATTAATAGTAATAATTATTTTATATAAAAAAGAATATAAAATATCTTCTTAATTTATAAGATACTGCAAAAATTATTTTTCTAATTATTCTAAGCTCATTAAAAAAATTTAGTAAGCTTAACTTTTTATTTATTAAAATGGACCAAATTAGTAGCTTAACAGTTTAAAATAGAGTTGTAAGCTAGGACACTTTTCTATTGAAGATTTTTTTAAAAAAATATGAAGTAAGTTGACAAGCTAATGAATTGATATCTTGGTGTGCTGAAAAATAATTTAAAAATAAAAATATTTTTAAATTTAATATTAATCTAAGAAATTTTGACTAATAGTAATTAACTTATAAAATATATTTTTGTTATTTTATTATAAAAAAAAATAAGCTAAACATTCTAATATACCTTGGACGTGTATTTTGCCGGTTTAAAGAGAACAGGTTAAACAGACTAATTAGTGTGGGAAGTAGAAACTCATGTTCAACACCTTAAGTGGGATCGAGGTCAATGAGATAGTCTATTTATTTAAACTCATTTAATTGTCCTTAATAATCAGAAAGTCGAGTTTAAATTTTAGCGATATGATATAATTATATGTTTTAGTAGCCACCAAAGTGAAATATAAGTGGCATGAAACTAGTATACATGGAATCACAAAAGAGAAAATATTTATTCTAATTCTAATAACTATAATTATTTTAGAGAGATGTCTATTTACAGAAAAAATAACAAAGGTTTATATAATAACATCCAAACTCCAAAGTAAAAAATGTAAATTAGTATTTGAGATTTAAATTATGTGTAACTAAATTACTGTTTAAAATTTATGAAAATATATTTTGATCATTAATGTTTTTAGTGTTTGCAATATAAAATTTTCGTTATATTTTCTATTATTTAACTTGAATTTGGTTGATTCTAATTTATTGAATTGTTAATCTAAATAATTGAATTTTAATATATTTTCAATTAATTTAATGCATCATATCATTTGAATAGTTGATCCATATATTCTTTCATAATATTAAAAGTCTTTTTATTATTCTAATATAGAAAAATAAAATTTTCCTTTTTGGCGACGAGAATCTTTTCGATTATACATGTTTTTTTATTAACTGCGTAATAACGTGACACTTTTATAAATACAGTGTTTGTTGTAAATTTTTAATTAAAAATAGATACAATTATACCTTTTATCCTTTTACTTTTATAGTCTTTTTTTTTAATTTGATATCTTAATTTTTAACAGTTTAATTTAGTTCTTTAATTTTTAAAATATTTAATAAATTTCTTATTAAAAAATTAAATTTTAAAAAATTACTATTTATCTTTTTATTTGGTGACTTTTTTATTTTTTTCTCTCTCTTTTTTTATCTTTGTTATTTTTATTATATATATATATATATATATATATATATATATTGCCATATATATTATTCATTTTATTTTTTAAGGGTGCAACTTCTCCTTTCATTCTGTCTCCTCATCTTTTTTCTTTTATCAAATTTCAGTAGACAGTAAATCAATGAAGGTGTAGTGAGACACATTTCAAGTTGAAATATGGTTTCAAATGCTAGTCATCGTGGTAGTCCAAGTGAGATATGACAGATTTTTTGAAAAGACAATTCATATATATATATATATATATTAAGAGAGTCAAATTTTCAACCAAAAACTAACATATTTGAAATATTTTAAAGTTAAAAAATTTAATTAAAACTTTTAAAAGTTAAGAAATTAAAGGGAAAGTTTATAAAAATTAGAAAATTAAAAGTATACTTTTTTATTTTGCACTAAGATGCACAGACTAATTGGGCCACTAGATTTTATATAATCTAAACTTCTGAATACTAATTTTGTATTTTGCTTATTTGCAAGTTGTGAAAAAATTATTACATCAACTTGGTAACTTGCCAACAAACACGAGTAAGTTAGTGTGTCGTGGTTTACAAGCTACCATTATGAATTAACGTGTAGCGAGTACACGTGCAGCTGCTCAAGGAGCACAGTAATGGTTGTACTTGGCTTCTACTTCTATATATTAACAAATAAACAGCATCCCAATCTTTTACCGAAAAAGTATTACTACTTTAAAACATTTATTAATATTTTACTATAATAATATTATTATTAATTTAATTAAATAATAGAAAATATTCTATGTAAAATGATATTTTAAAAAAATGTATAATAAATATTTTAAAATAATAATATATTCACTTTATTTTTATGGCTACAAATAAAAATAATTAAAAACAAATGTTGTATGAACTTTAGTTGAGAAATTGAAAAGTTAAGAAATAAAACAAATAGTTTCAATCAAATATCGAGTGGAAAGTACAAAATAGAGTAAATTTTTATTTTATTTTTTAAAATATATAGTGTTGTTTAAATTAATTTTTTAAATTTTGAATTTAAATATTTAGGTTTTAGAATTAACAATCACCAATCACCAATCATATTAATCTTTATTGTTAAGATATATCAAAATTTAATAATAGAATGATAATATGTTATATTAGTTAACACATGACTAATCTATTCTAGATATAAAATCATATCATTTTATAATATTTTAAAAATAGTTTATTTTTATTTTTGACTTTTAATATTTTTGAACAATAAGTTCTCTTCCTTATCTTTTGTTTTATCTTTCTTTCTTGGTGTCTTCTATCTTCTACTATCCTTCGTTGTAATAGTATTCAAGTTGCAAAGCTCTTTCATTTAGAGGTTGGATTTAAATGTAATTTTGGTAAGTGTGGCAATGGAGAAAGAGAGAGGTGGTTGAGAGATGAAGTTTGAGTTGATAAAAATTTGAACTTGTTAAAT